TCTGGTCTTCAGGAATCAAATTACACTTCTGCCATTGATGGTGAGCCGACAGAGAAACCGGTAATGGAAAAATTATAGGGCAGAGTGTTGAGGTGTAACCGAACACCATACGGAATTTTTTATTTCGACTCCAACACTATCAATCGGTCCTAGCTCTATGTGAAGATAACCTTAAAAACAGCTGCATTTTTAGAAAATACAAACAATCCGACTGCAGTAACTGGAAAGAATAAAGATTTTATTGTGCTGTCAATATGTATCCAATGTCAAAGTCTGCGTTTAAAATACGCCATTTTGATTTTACAATGTTTTAGTGTATTTAGTTCTCGCACTATCAAGACAAATCTATAGCTACCTCGAATGCCAAAATCCATCAAGCCGTTTGAGCTGTAGGACAGAAATTTGACATTTTTATTGAAAAGTTACTTGGTTTCTTATAAAAAATTGTTATACTACATTTGCACCATTTAGAGAAATCTAGAGAAACCTCTTATGTTAAAATTAATCAAGCCATTGAACCTGTAGCCCTTGAGATAGGAATTTCGAGGTTGCATTTTTTATTTAAAATCTTCCATTTTGTTTTAATAAAAGTTTATTACAGCCAGTGTCACCACTGCTAAGATGAATAAAAAATACCTCATATGCCAAAATCAAGGCGTTTGGCATGTAGCCCATGAAATATACTTTTTTGTCCACGCATATAGATACGCGCGAAAAACATAACGATCCGATAATAAAAATTGTATACTAAGTGACATATAAATCCGAACACCCAGTTTAAATGGTTTTATTTTAATAAAAGTTGGTGAATGTATTTATCTTACTGTAAATAACAAGTGAAAAAATTTTCAGCCTTGTCAGTTGGACATTCCGGTTTTTATACTGCTTTTTTTTAATTCACTAACGCTCTAAAAATGAATATTTCAGCCGCAGTAAAGAATCAACGTTGGCGGATTTTGGTTCTTGACATCCTTTACGATCGGTTACGATGCCTAGAGTACGGAGACCTGTACGATTTCGTCAACTTAGTGAGTTTGATAGGGGCCGTATAGTGGGACTTCGGGAAGCTGGACTTTCTTTTCGGGCAATTGCAGTTAGAGTGCAAAGAAGTGTAGACACTGTGGTTAGGTGTTGTCAGGCATGGCTTCGAGAAGGCCGTACGCAAAGAGCAAGAGGCACTGGACGCCGCCGTAGAACAACAGACCGTGAAGATCGCCGCCTAAGATTATTGGCCTTAAGGGACCGTTTCTCCACTACCAGGTCCATTGCAAATGAATGGTTTGCAGAACACGGAAGACCTATTAGCATGCGAAGTGTTTACCGACGAATGAGAAGTTTTGGCTTGTTTTCATACCGGCCACACTGGGTCCTCCCTTTAACTCGAGAACACAGACGTAATCGCCTTGAATGGTGCAGACAACGGTCACTCTGGGATCAGGAATGGAACAGTATTGTCTTTAGTGACGAGTCTCGATTTTGTTTAGGCATGCACGATGGTCGTGCCAGGGTTAGAAGGCGACGTGGTGAAAGGAGGAATCCACAGTTTTTTGTTGAAAGACATGTTCATCACACTGTTGGAGTTATGGTTTGGGGTGCTATAGCTTATGGTTCCAGGTCACCTTTAATCTTCATCAGAGGTAACATGAACGCGCAGCGTTATATCCACGAAGTTCTAGAACCCCATCTTTTACCCTATCTTGACACCCTGGCAGATCCAACTTTCCAACAAGATAATGCCCGACCACATGTTGCAAGAGTCACAATAGACTTCTTTCAACATAATTATGTCACATTGTTACCATGGCCACCAAGATCTCCCGACTTGCATGCGCGGCCTGTCGTGGTTATAGGATCGTTTCTGGAATGTAAAAGGTGTTGGAACGGATTCGGAATCGGTTTGTGCCTCGAAATTGACAGGATAGCCAATTATGCGGGATCTACCAATTTTTCGGCATAGCTATGAAGAGAGAATAAACATAAGTGCTAACGTTAAAAGGGCTTCATGTGAGTCATTGGTTTTATATCTGTGGTACATTACTCTGATATCTTATATTACAGTTGCCTGGACTGTGATAAAGATTCGTTTGCAATAAATTCAAAATCCCTGATGTAGATTTGTTTATGGACTAACAAATTGGTTGGCTGACTGTGGAAAGAAAACTACTGTACTATGTCTATCTTACATTTGTATATGAATTAGTAATGACTTCCATCCTACCATATTTATTTGAAAATCTTACTCTTTCTAAAGTTAAGTCAAAGAGATAAAACATGAGCATATCTCGTCACCATTCATTCATTCAACTCTATTTCAGAGAATATCTCTTTTTCTTGAGGAGGATACTGATTTTGATTCTGTGTATTACATTTTTCTAAATTCTTGTGTAATGTACATTTTAAATATACAAATACCCTTTGGCTAAATTTCGCCCTTCATAAAGCAGGTATATTACTTTCATTATTGTATGAAGCTGCAAATATTCAGTCCAACAAATCACGGAATCTGGTATTTGTCGATCTAGCAACATTGCTGGTAGCTGTCAGAATCACCTAACCTAACCGCCATTTGCCGTTTGTTTTGGTTTATAGCTCTTCTGCGCATGCCCCTTCCTTTAGTTCTCGCTTCACTGCAGGTACCGATATCACCATAACAAAACCGTCCCAAATCGATCCCAAAACGGGTTGGAACACAATGCAGAATCGTTCTGTTACTGTGACGGACAAGGTTGGAACACTTGTTCCTAAATGTGCAAACGCGTCGACGTCCCAGCACGGTTCTAGGACGGGTTGGAACAAAGCTTATGTTCGGCACAAGTTAGTCCCTCTGAAACACGTATAACAAAAGAATTAAATGGATTAAGTAAGCCAAATAGGCTCATGTAATTGTCCATACTCCATAGTCCCCACTCATTTGATAACGATGACGCTAGTTTCTTTCCTGATTTAAGTATCGACCATTTGGCAACGGTTTTAAGGGCAAATTACGGGGAAATATATGATGTGTGAAATATGGACTGATAGGAGCGTACAATTAATGGCGTTCGAAACGTATAAACATACTGCTTCCAAGAAATGATATATACACTCCCACACCCCCTACATCCCCTCGATTTCCACGACTTACAAAAATGCTCAGGATTATTCCCGTAGCTCCGTTTTTTCTTGTGCTTGGTATATTAGTAATCTTGTGTTTAAATTTCATCAAAGTCTGAGCAGCATTTTCAAAGTTATAGGAGGTTCAAAGATTATCGGACAGACGGAAATGAGTGACATGGTTTTTCGTTATGTACATGTCATACGAGTATAAAACCTAAAAAACATAAGGACCTTAATATAGGGCATTGATTCCCAAAGTGGTCTATATCGACCCCTAGGGTTCTATGACAACCTGCAAGGGCTCTACGACAGTGAAAAAAAATTTGGGGGTTCATGAAATGAATATGGGGGTCCACGATAGTGGATCTCAACACATACACTGATAGTACCTATTTACTTACATCATACTATCTTATAATATCAAAACATATACACATTATTTATAAAAGTACCTATGAAGTAAAAAAATTATTATATATGTTTATAAAATTGTGTAAGTTGTAGGATGTTGGTATTCGCTTTGTGGTCGCAATACATTTTGAACTTGTAAAAACCTGAGAGTCGCAGTCTCAGAGCTTCGCTACCTTGCACTGACTTGTTCAATTAGTCACTCTATAAATACGAATGTGGGACAAATACGTTTATTCGTTTCCTGAATCTTGAAAAGGAAAGTGCTAAGAAAATATTTTAAAAAATATAAACAGATAGTATATCACACAAATTATAGTGAGTCAGTGTTATTTTGTTTGAGAGTGCTGGAGAAAAGTCGTAGCTAGCAAAGATAGATAAATTACGCCAATCATGACTTTAGTTATTAGTAGTTAAATATTCAATCATGCAAAATTACACGAATACTCCTCAATAGTTTCTTTTTGAAAGTTTTAGCAATCGGTAATATAATTACAGTGCAATCTCCGTAATTCGAGCTAATTGTTGCAAGATGTTCGAATTATGGAATGTTTTCGGAAAAATCAAAAAATATTTTTAATATACAGCTGCTCGATTTTCTGTCTTATTTAAATAATTTAATGTTGCCCACAGATGACTGATGCCATGTCCGAATCTAAAAAGAAATGTAGACAGTGTTGATTATTTGAAATTTGGCTTTATCCATCATTGCCGGACAAACAATCGCCTATGTGCCTTTTATGCAACAAAGTTTTGGGCAATGACGCTATGAAACCATCTAAACTGCAAGATCATCTGAGAAGATGCCACCCTGATAAAACAGAGAAAGACTTGAAATACTTTCAAACACTCAAAGAAAAATTTCAGAAGAGACCTACACTGGACAGAATGTTCGCTTTGACGTCACAAAGAAATGATGATGGTTTGCGGGCATCTTACAATATCTCGTTAGTTATAGCAAAATCCGGAAAACCGCATACTATCGGAGGGAAGTTAATTTTGCCAGCCGTTGAAGAGGTTTTAAAAACTGTTTTACACAAACCTGCATCTGATATCATTAAAAGAATTCCCTTAAGCAACAATACTGTTGAAAGACGTATTGATGAAATGAGTTCTGATATTGAAAGCTTCTTATGTAATTATTTGCAAACGACCCATCTCTCTATACAACTGGACGAGTCAACTTTACCTGATAATGCAGCATTATTATTGGCATATGTTCGTTTTATTATGAATCAAGAAATCTACGAAGAACTGCTCTTCGCAAGAACTTTGATAACCGACACTAAAGGTGAATCAATATTTCATGTTTTGAAGGATTACTTCATTGAAAAAGCAATTCCTTTATCAAATATAATATCAGTAGCTACAGATGGAGCACCTGCCATGGTTGGACGTTATCGTGGATTTATAAGCTATTTAAAACAAAATGTGTCAGGGGTGTTAGCAATACATTGCGTCATCCATCGACAACATTTAGTTGCTAAAAATTTGAGTGTTAGATTGCATGAATCACTTCATTTAGTCATTGATGCAGTAAAGCGAATCCGAAGCAACGCGTTGAATACGCGGTTATTTGCGCAGTTGTGTGAAGAAAATGACGAACACTCATCAATTACTCCTTCACACTGAAGTACGCTGGCTGTCGAAAGGCTTATGTTTGACAAGATTTTTTGCACTTTTTGAGCCTATTGTAGAATTTCTGGATACTAAAGATAAAATTTTAAAAGAAAATTTAATGAAGAGGAAAACAGACATCGCCTATTTAACAGATTTGTTAACAAAATTTAATATGGTTAATTTGCAATTACAAGGCGACAGTTTAAATTTGATTAAAACAAAGTCCATCTTATCAGCGTTTCTTGCCAGAGTTAAACTAATGAAGCAAAATATTGGACGGGGCGAATTTTCTCAGTTCCCCAATTTGTCACAGACAAGCTGCCAGGAAGACGACGTTTCAACTTACGTTCAACATTTAAATGCCCTCTATTCAGATTTTGAATCTTGGTTTGAGGATATTTTGACTATGGTAATACCACCGAGGATAATTAATCCATATGGTGACATAGAAGAAACGAATGTCATAATACAAGAGGAACTGACTGAACTAAGTACAAACGAAGAACTTAAGGATCAGTTTAAAAACGGATATCAGCAATTCTGGCTGCAAAACAACATACCTGTTACTTATCCCGTATTATGGAATATAGCGAGGAAATTTTTAATTTCCTTTCCATCGTCATACCTAGTGGAAAGGGGGTTCAGCGCTGTTACCAATCTGCTAACGAAAAAAAGAAACAGACTGGACATCATTAGTCGAGGAGATTTAAGATTAACCCTTACAAAATTGACGCCAAATGTTGATAATTTATTATTAAAGCATCAGGTTCATCCTTCTTACTAAAAATATTGACTTATTGCTTATGTTATTTTATTTATAGTTTATTTTATGTTTATTGGTGTCTGACCAATAAATGCCCGCATTGGGAATAAGTGCCCGCATTGATTTTTTTTAAGAACCCCCCTTTATAGAAAATATTTTTTTTAAATTATTCAGAAAATTCAAGGATAGGTACACCCTAAAATTCGTTAATTTTTTGCCTATTTTTAGATAACTTAAACGTATAAGAAGCGGAATTTAATCAAACTAACATTGACATTATTGTAGAACATACGTTTATGTTATAATTAATAAACGAACTCGCTTATTGTACTATTTTAAGTAAAAAACTTTTTTTTTATTATTTTTCACTTTTTTTTTATTTTATCCCTCTTATTTTTTTTTCAATGCGGGCACTTATTCCCAATGCGAGCACTTATTGGTCAGACACCTGTTTATTTAATGTTACGTATATTTTACATAACAGATACAAAATTTTATTTTGAGTAGTTTTAATTTAAATTCAATTAATAAATGTATAAATTAACATGTGTTTTTACTTTAAGTTTTTAACACTAAACTTCACTACAGTTAGAAATTTACAGGAAATCAATATCAGGTAAGTAGGGGGTCTACCCAACACGGAAAAACATGGCAAGGGGTGTACGACACAAAAAAGTTTGGGGAACTCTGATCTCCGTGAATGTAATTGATAGGTCAGTAGCGTAAGGTACAGAAATAATAAGACATATCTATGTGAATTATGGTTTCGTGCAGTCTCAGCAGGTTATAGGGCCTTTCACACTATTGTAGTACAGACTGTATAGGAATATGGAAATGAAAAGAGAGAACAAACTACATGTCACTTGGAGGAGAGATAAATAAAATATGATGTCAAAATACTGCAGAAGGTCACCGTTATGACCGGAATCATTTACAGTAAAAAAGATTTTTTCCATTACATGTAGTTTCGACTGACCAGAGAAATATGGGGGATTATCGACATGAAAACCACAGGATCAGTATCAAATGTTACATACCTATGTGTATTTTTTTATACCGAAGCAGCAGAAGCTTTAACACCGGTGCACCGTGACTGCTATAAGACGGTTAGAAACACCTTGTTAATCCGATTTTCAAACTATCTAAGGTTAGCAGAAGTAGGAAAAACCTCTTCAGGGCAGATTCTTCCACAATCTCGACAACTTAGTCATAAAGGAGCGGTCGTACCGACCAGGTAGGGATGAACGAAGCTCGATACGATGGGAGACCAAGAGCTGGCGAGTCTGTGTGGCAACCTCATCGCGCGATGGTATCATGGAGACATCTGAGGAGCAAAGCTCGTTGACAAAGTGGTAGAAGAGAGCCAGATCGCCGACGGCCCGTCGGTGCAAAAGTGTTCCGAAACCGTCCGTATGAGAAGTGTGATTGATCAGTCTGACAGCCTTTCTCTGAACAGCATCGAGTATGAACAGTCAGGGCAGCAGCAGTCCAAACAGGTGAGCAGTACTCAAGGCTAGGTACTTCTTAGCAGTAAACAAATGAGGAGCAGACTTTCTATATGCAATTTGTCCATTTTATCACATTTTCAACCAAAGGTGGCATCGCAAACTAGATATACACCTCTACAATGTTATGCTACAAAAGACATTCTAAATGCATTTTGTTCCATTCAAATTGAATGATAAAAATTCCTTGGACTTTCTTTATGCTATATGTCCATTAGCGGTGGACAAACTAACAGAAGTTTGTCCTTGCAGCCTGGACTTAATTGCCTTTTGTTTGTCGTTGCACGTGTTGCTGTCAGACGTGTTTGTTTTGTGTACTTTTATTTCTCTGTTTTTCACGAAACAATCCAAAATAACGGATGTACCTGTGAAATGGGATCATATAGTTGGTGATACGAATCGTGGTAGTAGAAAAAGGAAAAAAATATCACATCTAAAGAGCGTAAAAGTTATGTTAGGTAACTTTCAATGATTTTGAGGTTATGTTTGTAATACGCTATTGTTTGGCTAATATCATCTGTAGGCTGTTATGTTATTATCGTTAATATTTTAATATTCTCTTTTTAAGGCATTCAGATCATTACCCTAATTTGGAACATCTTGTTGATTGTTCCTGTGGTCACCATATAAAAACTGCGTTAACTTCTTTAAAGAAAATTGAAGGGATCAGTGCGGCCAAACGAATTATTATTGAGAGATCACAACACAACAGCGACATTTTGCTTAAGACCGAGTTATTTTACAGAAATGACGATCCTTCCAAACAATTTCAAACGTTATTAAAACGTGGAAAAAAGCTTTCTACTTTAAAGTTACCTGTCGTAAAAAACAAACAAAAACAAAAAAACTAAAGAGCTAAACTGCTCGTGGAACTGTCAGGGGTAAATTGGGCCACAGATCCGGAGTTAACATGGTTGCAGTCAATTCTTTCTGATAATTATGAGCAAAACGACATTCAACTTAACCAAGATCAAACTGGCGATGATGATGTTTCCGAAGAAGCTGACATATGCGATTGTAATGATGACGACGATGGGGACATTTATGACATGTAAAATTTGTAATTACTGTTTGATATTTTCAAAATAAAATACTAGTTCTATAAATCTACACATCTTTTTTACACCCTCACTACACAGTTAGTCATACCGCTTTATGCAGACAATCAAAATGCATGTCCCAGGCTGACAATCTAAATGCAGTTTGTCCGACAGTTTTTTTGAGTTTTTCAAAATACAATTGGTACTAGATTTTTCACATGTAGGTATAATATTTGCGTATTTTTCCATCCATTTTTTTAACATATCAGTTTTTCGGTTAATTTCTTGCCAAACATGTAGTGGTTTTTCTTTATTCGCCAAAGTTACAAAAAATGGACAAAATGCGTTTAGAAAGTCTGCTCCTCAAAAAATAGCCTAGCTTTATCCCAGCAGTTTTGGCGATTTGGTAGAACTCTACAATCCATCTAAACTGGACAAAAGCTAAGGCGCTTCTTGTTGGTCGTTGTGTTTTGGAACCATTAAACTGGACCAGATTGTTGCCTGCCCAAGCAGTGATAGCTGCCAGAGTTTTTGCCACAGAGGAAGTCGCTGCTGGTCTTCTTCTCTGCAGCTGACAGGTAAAGATCAGCATGACACTGAGTACCTGCATGTAGAGTGCTGTTATTAGCAAAGCTGTGGAACGGATTGATTGTTGATATGTAAAGAAAGCAGTGTTGGAGCCAAGGCCGATCCTTGGAGAACACCCCTACTGAGCGAGGGCCGTGGCAAATGCTTGTTCCGGAAGTCGTTGTATCCAGTATACAACTTCTTCCCGTCCAAGTGATTGCGCACGCGTTAAGGAATACCTCAGTACCGATTGCCGGGTGGCGGTACAAGTCCGCCAACGGGCCACTTTAGGTCTATTTAACATCACTAATACATAAAAAGAAGGTGGTAGACAAGGACCAGTCGACCGAGGCAGTACCACCCGCTAGCTTTTCCCAGGGTGTCTTATAAATGTCCGCATGTTTCCACACCTAAGCTATGCAGTCGGTTATCTGCCAAAACAAAGAAATTAATGATGATGGATCCCTCGAGCACTAAAAACTCCGGACGTAAACTCACTCCACTCTCGGAATGTCCGGGTGGAGGGTGGGCTCGAGGGAACAACATCGAAGATAAAATTTGTTTTTCCAACATCTGCGGGATCAACAGCAACATTGATGCTGTTCATCACTACCTGCAATCCAATCGTCCCGCCGTGCTTTTCTTGGCGGAGACAAAAATCTCAGAGGCTGCACCGATTAACCATCTCAACTTCCCAAACTACGAGGTGCACTCCAATCTGAGAAAGAACGGGGGAGTTGTGGCTTTTGTCCGCAGCAGTCTTTCCTGCTCCAGGGATCTTTCTTTGGAATCAGACCGGAAGGACATTCTGTGGCTTCGCCTCAACTCCAAAACATCACCCAAATTTATTTGCTGCCTTTATCGCTCTCCCTCGAACCATAACTGGGATGACCTACTCGAATACCTCGCCGTCCAGATCGACTTCCTGAACATCAATCACCCCGCTTCAGAGGTAGTTCTTCTCGGTGATTTCAATGCCCATAATGAGCTTTGGTTGGGCTCAAATAAGACCGATGCAGCAGGTCGTGCAGTCGAAGCATTCGCTCTTACTCAAGGGCTGACCCAGCTGGTGACGAGCCCTACTTTTTTCCCCCGCGTCTCGTCACACGCCAGTAGCCTGCTGGATCTCTTTCTGACCACGCATCCTGCCCCTTACAGCACTGCCGTCCTGTCCCTCCTGGGTAACTCAGATCACGGTGTTGTGGAGGTTAGGTTTCGGTCAGAAGCCGCTGTGGCCGCAGAAACTCGCACAGGCCGCAAAACTTGGCATTACGGACATGCCGACTGGGAGGGGCTCAGAGACTTCTTCTCTAGCTTTTCTTGGAGAGATGTCTGTTTCACTGACGCGGATGCGTCGACTGTCTGTTCTTCAATAACCGAAATTATCCACGTCGGAATGGAGGAATACATCCCTCACACAGTGAAAGCTCCTAAACCAGGGTCCAACGGCTGGTTCAACAAATCGTGTGACATTGCTCGCCAGCAGAAGATCAAGGCCCACAGAACCTACCTACAAAACCCCACTGTAGAGAACAGACAAGCCGACGTCGAGTCCAGAAACAAATATAACGAAGCGGTTCGCAATGCCAAAACCCAGCATGATATAAAAGTTAGGCACAGGGTAATGTCGCAGCGCAATGGCAGTCGGTCTTTCTGGACGCTGGCCAAGCAGATTGAAAAGAACTTCTCACACAGTAGC